ATTGTAGGCTGTTTTCAGCAGACATGCTGCTAGAAGGAGTCTTACTTGCCCACCTCAGCTGTAGGAGCTGCGGGCATGCCCCACGTTGGGCGCCATTTATTGTAACGATCTTTTCTTGATTCGATATCCTAAGTGAGAGGTAACATTCAGCACGTACTGGTTCGGATCTAGCTCGTCGGATAGGGGGGTGAGTCTTTGTTACATCATCACTCGGATTAAATCGCTAACAACAAAAATCTACGTGCTTGGGAATGTAAAATTAAAACATTGAAACCACTATTGAACCCAAATTGAATGAACCCTGAAACTACTAAAACCAACGAAGCTTATGCTGATTCCTTCATGAGAAGATGGTATTCTCATTATGTCGCCCACCCTACCTTGTGCTCTCGATACCGGAAAAAAAATCCTGAAAACACCCTACTGCGCTATTCGGTTACTCCGACCCCTTCATAATAATACACATTTTGTTACGATCATAATTCCACAAAATAAGTATAATTTTATTTCATTCCAATATATATTTAAACTTACAAACTAATCCTATACTCTAAATAAATGTATATATGAATGTACATGCCAACCGTAATTGCTGGTTGGGTTGCCTATAACTAGTTACCTACATATATATCGAGCCCTAACCGCCAAAATAACGTAAGCGACATTTTTTTCAAAATTTTATTTTTGATGCAGAAATATTCCTAGAGCTTCTAGATACATTTCTGCATCAAAAAGAAAATTTTGACAAAAATGTCGCTTACGTTATTTTGGCGGTTAGGGCTCGATATGTACACTGGCTTTGACCTACTCACTCGGTGCGTATGCACACGAATGTGTACTTACATATGTGATTTTGTATGTACTGACATACCTACTATATGCACATGCATGTATATAAGCGCCTACCATATACATACCTACTCTCCAATAATGCACCATACATACTCTGGTATCGGCTCTTTGTTTCGCTAAAGCAAGAAGATCTATGGTGGAGAGTACTGAATTCATATGTTTCACAACTATGGTTCTCGGCAAGTGCTGTACCCTGACATATGCTAACAGTAAGGCAAAACAGCAAAATATAACCAAAAAATTTTTTTTTTACAGTGACATGAATTTAATATTTAAGTGAAAAAATCTTTATTGTACATTTACGCAAATAATACGAAAGTAATACTATGTATGTAAGTATGAAATGGATACTTAAGCGGAATCTATATATATATATATTTTTATTTATTTTTTATTTTATTTATATATATATATATATATATATATATATATATATATTTTTTTTTTTTGTTATTAGAAACTGCAATGTAATGCGATTTTTCTCTAACGCTTACACAGGTTATAATTA